AGAAGGTTTTTTTAACTTAAAAACCTACTTCTTATATAGTATAAATACTACATAAAAAGAAGTTGTTTTTTTTTGGCGTGGGGGGGTGGTCAGTTAAATTATGCTTTTGAGTTTATTGCTTTTAGTTTTATTTATTTTATTACATTTTATTTTCTTACCTGTTTGATATCATAAAATATAAATGAAATACCATCCAGTGAGGTCTTTATTAATTATTTTGAATTTAAGAGTTATTGAATTATATCATATTTCTCTTCCAGGGAAAAGTAGTCAAAGGCTGTAATTTAGAATTATTTCCTTTTTGAACATCCATATTAAAATAATCTGACTATTGCTAAAATAAAATAAAATAAATAAATAAATAAAAAACTTCTTTTAAAAAAGGTTCACACTCAAAAACGGCATTAAACTTTACATTTTTCAAATCTTCAAACATGTCTTTATTTAATAATAAAAAATGCTTCTTACAAACAGCAATGGAATCAATTTTAAAATCGTGCTGAAAAATTACAAGTAATTTTTTTTTTTAAATAAATATTAAGAGTATTCTTTCTGGCCAATCTGAAAGAAAATAATGTGCTTTATTAAATTATGCAAACAACAACTCTCAGAAAAATTTATATTTTGAGTTTTATTGAATCATTTTTGGTAAGATTCAGGACAAATTTTCTGTATGTTCACTCACACTTGATATTGTATAATTTTTTACTGAAATTACATCTGTAGGGATTTTTCTTTATATAGCTGTAAAAATTATTTGACAAACACCCCCAAAATTAAAAGGTACAAACAAGATGTCTAAAGATGCCTTATTACAATTCATTCATTAATAAGGGCTAAAAGTTTTCTTCGAATCAGATAATTCCCTGATTTTTGCCAAATATTTTAAAATAGGGTAGCAATTTTTTTTTGCATTCATTTTGGAAAAAATGCATCCATTTTGGTGGTACTTATATTTTAGAAAGAAGCATAATTAAGTACATGTGAGACTAACAAAGAACAGATTAACTGAAATGGAGACATAAAAATATATGGAAAATAATTTGGCTTATTAAATATAAGAAAGGAGAGGTGAATCAAGAAAAGATCTTGATGGCAGGTATTTCAATTTGAAATAAAATGTCAGTTGGTCAGTACCTAGATGGGTGACCACTTAGAAATACCAGGTGCTGTAATGTCGGAAATTTGTCCTGGCTTTCACACATGAAAGGGTTATGCTTAAAGGTGACCACTGATAAAAGCAACAACATCTTGAAAGTGTAGAGCAGACAATTCTCTCTTTTAGGCAGAAGAATAAAGACTCAAACTCCTCCTTGGTGTGTAACAATAAAAGAAAATGTTTATTTACATGCACCAAAAAAGGTAAAGAGATATACACAAAATATGAGAAAAAGAAAGGGAGAAGAAAATTCCTTTAACTTAATGGAAGAAAAAGTGTTCATGTAAAGAATTGCTCAAAATATTTCTCTGAGCACCTAAAAGTTCTTTAAGCAAGTAAATTGTTCTTAAGTAAATTGTTCATAAGATTTCTTCAGAGGTCTCATTGAGAGGGAAACAATCGGAAGATCCATAGTTTGTAGTTGAGTGAGTTTGTAGGCTGACGACAAGAATTTCAAGGTCCTAGGTAGCAGATCTTGAGTAGTTTTAGGAGAGGGCTGATGTTCTGTCTTTAGAGCAGAGCATGTAGATTTCTTCCTTGATGATTGGTGTTCTTTTCACTGACCTGATGTTATCACAGACAATGAAAAATACTCACTACCAAAGAGGTGCACATTCTTGGTATTTATCACAATTAGAAGGCTCAGAAACATTGAGAACTTTTCCTTCCAAAATTGCTTATACGCTTTCTCTGCCATCACATTTGTCAGAAAATATATTCTTATCTCTGAAAAGGATCACGGCTTTCGGAGCTGGTTTTCAAAGCAGGGGTAAAAGTCAGGGCAAAGATCAGAAAAGCTGCTAGTATGTGAACTTGTAAAACATTGTAATAGTGGTTCTCAAATTAAATTCTAATAAGCTTGAATGTGTTGGTGGTGTAATGGATAATGGCTCTGAATTTTTAATCTGCGAGCCAACTTCCAATTCTAGTTGTATTTGTTATATTCACTTATATGTAAATACCCTTGGGAAAGGTATGAATTCACTCATCTCCTCCCACCCCAGCTATGATTTAGTGATACAAGTTTTATTGATTAAAATTAATAAGACTTGTATCACTAAATCATCATTATCTCAAAAAAAAATTCTTACAATCTAAAAATATTTTTTGACTTTAAATAACCTGCAAAGGGTTGATAAATCATAGAAAATAATCAATCATTTTTTTTATATTTACAAACTTCAGCATAGCCTGACATAGTCAAATATGAGAAAAACAAGATTGGAAGATAATTGTGTTGCATGAATCTTTCAAGTAGAGAAAACCTGCATGCTTGACTTAAAAGTCAACTTTTAGATTCTCAGTTTCTTGGCTTGAATATCAACACTGTACTGTCATGTAAAAGCCCCAATAACTTTTGTACTTTCATTTAAATTTGTGTTACAGTTAAATTAATAACAGAAAAAACAAGTAGTTGGCTAAAAACCTGTACATGTAAATGATATTAATGAGTTTAATAGTGATATTTTGAATACATTGATAATCTTGATATTGATTATTTTGAACTACCTCACAGCACCATTCAGCAAGAAATCTCCAGTACAAAACTATACAACCCATTTTTGATCATTCACAGTACCTTAATGATAAATTGCTCAATTTTTTTCATTTTTGTTGCATTTTTATCTTCCCTGTAAAAATGCTCCTAATTTTCTTCTATTTTAATATTAGAACAAATAAACTAAAATACACCAGTGAATATTTTTTTAAATCACATTGTTATACCCAATTGTTACAATACAAAAAGCAAACATTTTTTATGTTAAAACTTATTTAACAATGAAAACTGAAACTAACTTTTTTGGTTACACAAATGTAATAATGTGATAAGTCTACACAGTCAATTATTATTAATTTCTTACTCATAAAGTTGTTAAAATTTCTTTGTTGTTAAGGAACACATTTGTTTTACATGAACTGTTGTTTTGTAAAAAAAAAAAAACAAATTTGTATTTCCAAAGGAAACTGATTTGTATTTTGATTGATAGTTTGTGGTGCAGAAGTGAAATTTTGTGCAATGCCTATATATTTTGTACAAATTGTATATTGTAAAAAATATTCTTTGACACACTAATAAATGCTTGTTTCTCTGCAAATTTTACTCAACATAAAAGTTTTCTTGTAAGTATCTATAAAATTATTTATAAGGAGAAGAATAGGAGATTTGAAACCTGCTCCTCCTTTTCTTTTGTTTTTAATATAATTAGTTTTGCTAACATCTTCCTCAAGCTCCTGACAATATGAGTATTTATAAAACTGTCTTCAGTTGTGCAATTTTGATTGATCAGAAAAATATATTTCATGATTTTGATAAAATAATTTTGGAAAAGGTTCTCTGGGATTTTCTCATTAAACTGAAATGAAATGATCATTCTTCCTTTGAATTTGTAAGTGAATGTAATCGTTAGATGAAAACTTAGTATTAAACTCCAGAGTTTTCAATATTTCTTGGATGCCATTGCTAGAAAATGATTAACAGTACCTAATAGATCTTTGTCCATATATTCCTTTAAACGTATAACTTTAAAAGTGATAACTAAATATGCATCTACAATAAAATAGGATTTCTGCTTTACTTTTTTAGGTAAAAAAGGAATAAATTTTTAATAAATTTCTCCAGCAAGTTATAAACACTTTAACAAATTATATTTTTCAAATAAGCAAAAGCTTCATGTAAAAATTTAGATTAAATGTCACATCAGTGTATGTCACATTAATTAAGTAATAAAAGAAAAACATACAAAACAAAGGGCAGATTAATTGAAATGGAGACATAAAAAGATATGGAAAATAATTTGGCTTATTAAATATAAGAAAGGAGAGGTGAATCAAGAAAAGTTCTTGATGGCAGGTATTTCAATTTGAAATAAAATGTCAGTTGGTGAAACAATCATTTTTTAACTTCCTTTTTTTTTTTTTGGCTTACAGCCACATCATGTTAAAACATCAGTTCCTGTACAATTATTGAAAAAAAAAAAAAAAAAAGGAAAAAAAAGCATACTCTTCCTTCCTTTCTTTTTTTTGCAATTATTTTGAATAACACATATTCAATTGTCTTTCTTCATCTACTCAGTTTTTTTTTCTTGTACTTCAATTAGGTTTCTTAGCCAGTGATTCGCTACATTTACGAGTTTGTTCCTACTATTTTTTACACTTGAGTTACTTCCTCAATCCCACTTATTCTTGTTATTCCATTTTTAAAACTTGTTTATTCATTATCACTCACAAACATAAGTAATCCCATTCATTTCCTCATTCTATTTTTTTATTCACATTACTGGATTTTTAGATTTACTCTTACGTTTTGTTTTTTCTTTATTATCTCCCTTCCCTTGTGTCTCACTCATAAAGTGCCCGTATGTGCTTAATAAATTTGTGCCTTCCTGTCGTTGCACTTACATTCAGGCGGTGGCTGTTGTGTTTTCTTCTGTCGGCAGACACATAACTGTTTTATAGACTTAGTTTGCATAATGCTATTTGCTAGGCGTGTATTTCTAAGTACTTTAGAAGCTACTAGAAAAATCTGATGACCGACTGATGTTCTCCCCAAGACTTATCAGGCCTACCTTCAATAATTATAAAAGAAAACTTACCCTTTTTGTTTGCTTATTTCAACTCCTTACTGAGTGGGTGCCTAAAAAAAAAAAAAAAAAAAACTAACCTGAAGTCAGTTTTAGTTTCATCTGAAAAATGATAACTAATGTTAGTAAAAATGACGTCTTCTGAAATCAAACCAACGTAAACTTTACGAAATAATATAAAAATCATAGTCAAGAAGATATTATAATTAGTCAAGAAGTGTGTTTTTTTTTTTTTTTTTTTTTTTCGTGGGCCTGTTTAGCAGTCTTTTGGTCGGTGATTTTTTTTTTTTTTTTTTTTTTTTTTCTTTCGATGGAGGGTCATCCGTATGTACAGATCAGAGACATAAGACCTGGTTTGAAGAGTCTAAATGTTATTTTTATTGTTCTGGACATAGGTAGGTAACAAAACTAGCTAACAAAGGGACCTCCCTATCCCGAATCCCACTTAAAGGGTCGGGGTTTTTTTTGTTTTAATATTTTTTTTCTGTTCTACAAGTCTTACAAATGTCTTGGTTTAATGCAAGCGTAAATGTGCAAAAAATATCGTACAGAAAATACATGTACAATGTACATGCATAATAGCTGTATGAATGAGCTTCTTTCTGAGGAAGCATATCGAATACAAACGCCATGATGGGTGAGTTCACTTCTCTGCCACGATGAAGGGGTGACAGGTTGTGACGTATGAAAAACGGAAGTTTAACTTGGTATCGTCCCGGTTCGTGGGGTTGATCTCTTAGTGTTATCACGCCATTCGCTCATTATGGGATGAATGTAATGTAGAAATTCGAAATGCTTGGATCTAAGGTGAGCCTGTCCGTATCTCCACCTTTTATTGCGCACCTGAATTTTATAATCTTGATGCTTGACTCTTCATTTCAAAGATTTGATTAGTAGTCACATTTTTGATGTTGGAAATCTTTCCAAAAATTACTAACGAGTCAAGTTGCCAGATCACATTTTTGGTCTCTAAATTAACAATTGAGGCTTCTTTTAATAATTATGCCTTAAACCGAAACGACAGCGCAAGATTGGTAGGATCCCATTTTATTTATTTATTTCTATAAATATTTCTCTTCGAACACGTCAGTATTACACGCAATACTAATTTGAGTCATTGAAATGCATTTTGTATTTCAAACTTCTAATGACACCCCCCAACCTAATTTCCTTTAATGCGTGAATGTTTTGATGCTAAGAAAATTCCTAAGAATGTTAGTTTATTTTTATTGTTGCAGGTAAACCAACTCGTACTAAAGACGGGCATGATGTTCGGTCTTGTAAAGTTGCTGACAAATCCGGTTCGGTGAATGTATCTGTATGGGATGAAGCAGGAGGCTTGTTACAGACTGGAGATATTTGCAAATTGACCAAAGGGTTAGTAGTGGCTTTAAACCTGTATATTTTTATTTTCTGTCATAACTTTAACTTTATTAAATTACTGTTATTTGACTTTCACTTTTTATCTCCTAGTCTCGGACAACGTAATTTCGGTTTAGTAAAAGATAATGGTACGAACGTGTATTTGTCTGCTTTTTATGCAGAACATCCTAGTTCATGAAGATTTAATTTTTAAGCCCCCATTTTTTTTTTTTTTTTTTTTTTAAAGCTCATGGTAGCTAACTGTTTTGGTCCCAATAGCAAGTTATGACTTAATTGGAATTAACCATTTCAAACTGTGATATATATATATATATATATATATATATATATATATTTTAAAATACATATAAGATCTCGTTATTAGATTCGCTACTAATCGAATTTTTAAGTATGTTTTACTTTTAAAATTGCAGTTGAGCACTGTTTAACTTCTAAAGTGCGAATTCTTTTCCTTTTGTCAGTTTCAAACACCCTCTGTCGAATCGATTGTGTTTGTTCGTCCTAAGTGAGTTAATTATTAATCTGATCTCATGAGATTTTTTTTTTTTTTTATATAGACCAGGGAATTTGTCTTGCTTCCCGTCTCGTTACTTGTATAAAAAAATGCTCCAAAGAGGAATGTGATTACGTATTTTACAGTAGTGCAATGAACCAAAAGGACCGCACACCCTAATAAATCAGATTAATCACATCCTACTGCTTGTGCAGTGTGGGTAAATGAATAGCCTTAAGGTTTCAAATGAATGACGCATTTATCAGCTGGTAAATGCAGTTATTAACAATCAACTCGGTTATTCACATTTTTAATGTCTAAAATGAAGAGCTGTATCAGCCTGACTTTGATTAGCAAAAATTGATTTCGTTAATCAATCTTTGTAGTACTAGTTTTAAATTGATCTGTAAACTGTCTTAATGTTGCTAGAGGCATTCCTATTTGAACACTTCGAACTTAGAATGCAACTGTTGTGCAAATTTTTATTTTAAGAAATGCCCAGGCCTTAGCTGTTAAATTACTTTGCTTTCTCACTTAAAAATAAGATATCTTTAGCTTTAAAAAAAAAAAATCTGGTAAAACGAAAACCTAATTTCCAGCACTTAATGTCTTAACTTAATTAAACCAATAAATTTACTTACCTTTTTGATCAGAGGTAAAATTTAAAACAAAATTCAAATTAATCTGTACCCAATGATGTAAACAAGACAATTGAAGCCAATTCAGGATAGCAAGTACTGCAAGGTGAATAAACCTGTGAGTGTAAGGTGTATGTTTAGTGTGTGTATGATGTACTTGTTAACTGGCGGTGGCCTATGATTCAATGATTATGAGAGCTGAGGGTGCACTTTATAAATAGTGGAAGGATTGATCCTTAATTTCTGAGATTTCATAAATTTTTTTTCTATTCTCAAAAGTACCTTCCTATTTTTACGAGAGTTAAAGTTTCACTTGGTTACTGAAGAAATTTATTTTCACTAGTAAGAAAACCCATTTAATTTTCAAGAGAATTTACTTTTGTGCCGTGTTAAAAAAAAAAACAAAAAAAACACGGGACTAATAATTGAATGGTCTCTTGCTAGGTTTGATTAATTTGGAACGGGGATCTATTTTTTTTTTTTTTAGTAATTAACCTTGTGATGAGTTAGATATTCGAATTACTTGAGTCGTTTTCTGATTAGTGACAAGCCTAGCTGACATTTTTATTTCTTAACTTTACAAGTACTTATCCCGTTTGCAGTCTCGGTATATGGAGCGGAACATTTTGGACATTTTTTTTTTCTTCCTACCTCTAGAAACTTAATCGAATGCTATTTCAAATATTACTGTAATAAATTGTACTAAGCACAAGATAATGTCTGTATTCACGTGTGGCAAATTTTACTGACAGAATGAACAAATTTTCACATTTTTTTTCTCGAGTTTCTCTTATCAAATCAATTTAACTACTAGAATTTGTCAAAGAATTGATTTAAATTTAGAACCCCCCCCTTTTTTTTTTGCTCTTTTTTAGAGCAAGGATATAAATAAAAAACAAAACTATTTTACTAATTGGATAATGAAGGAAACCTTGCTCCAGAGCGTGAATAATTCCTAATTTTACTGTTTCATAAATTCTCCAAACTTGTATTTTCATTTAATCAGTGTTTGTACTGATGGTTTTTACCTTTTGGTCATGTCATGTGTATTTCAGTTAATTTACATTGAAGAAAAAAATATTTTCATGCTTTGATAATTATGCTCTATGCATTCATTAAAGAATTAGCACATTCCAGTTATCAATTTCTATAGTCTTTAAGAAATTTTCACTTACAATTACCTGCCAAATGTGATTTTTGTGTTCGTATTTTTCTTTTTAACCTTTCAAAAAGTTTTCTTGATGTGAGGTTAGAATTAGGTGCGATATCATCAGACAACAATGAAGAATTTTTTCTCCTTTTCACTTCTGCTACTAGAGACCAAGATTTGAATGATTCACATTATCTTTGGCCCTTTTCATGTTATTTATATATATTTATATATATATATATTATATATATATATATATATATATATATATATATATATATATATATAATAAAAAAAAATCTGATCTGTAGCATTGCAAAAGCATGCTAAATATAAACATCTGGAACAACTTTAATTCCTTTATAATTGGAGTGACATTAATTTTTTTAACTTTCATTAAAAACTTTATTTTATTAGTATGGCCAGAGGATATTTAATATTCCAAATAACATACTTGTACAGTACACAATCATAACTGCAAAAATAAAATTACTAATTCATCAGTGACCTTTAATAAAAAAAAAAGGAACAATGTAGAAATAGAAAAGCTGTACCCAGTGATGTGAACAAGACCATTGAAGCCAATTCAGGATGGCAAGTACTGCAGAATGAAGTGAATGTTTGGTGTGTGTCAGTGTGTCTGATTTACTTGTTAACTGAAAGGTGGCCTATGATTCAATGATTATGAGAGCTGAGGGTGCACTTAACTTTTGGAGCACATTTCTTGTATCTCCACCTCTCATTTTATCATTAATTGTTGAAAATCTAAAGTACCAATCATAGTTTTAAATTATTCTGGTCTTCAAACTATGGCTTTTCATCACAAAGTAGTGAAAAAGATAAGTGTTGAGCTCTAGCAATGTTGTACAATTATTGGTTCTGATTTGTGGGCAAGTACTAAGTATTCATTGAGCATATTTTTTTAATATTGAATATTTCAGAAAATTATCTTAAACTTTTAATCTAAAGTTCAATTTAGATTCTATTTATAACTATAATCTGTAATTCAACTGAAGTGATAAATGTGACAGCAAAGTATATTATGCATTTTTGTATAAGGTCTATTAAAACGATATGAAGATAAAATGTGCTTAAATCCTTAAGGCAAAAATGAACTCACTTGTTCAAGACTGTGTAGGCTGAACAAAAAGGTAAAATAACTAAATGTATTTAAGTGCAGTTTTTAAATTTTTGACTAGAAATTTTTTTACTCTTTGGATTTCAGAATCCTTAAATACTGATAACATTTTAGGTAGTATTAGTTTGAATTTTATAAGCAAAGGTAACTAAATTTCACTTAAAAGGTAATACTTTTAATATAGGATTATGGCTGTGTATTCACTCCTATTTTTACTTGTTTAATTTTAAGGTTGCAGGTAAAATAATTGGTAATTTATCATTAATCTCCTATTAAAGCTGTTGGACATCATTAAACTCACACTGGATTTTTTTAAAAACCTCTTCTAATAATAGAAAGGCTAGAAGCAAATTTAGAAAGTGTTATTTGACAATTCTAGCATCTGTAAGCTACAATTACAGCAACACAGTGCATCATAATGTAAGCATGAGTACGCAGCAATTATTAAATGACTGGCTACTTTTTTTCTTTTCAGATTTTTTTTTTTTTTTTTTTTTTTTTCTGTACTTGAAGTCCTTACTTAGCAAAGCTGCTGCCTTTTATTTTGCATACTCAAATGATATCCACGAGAGGCACTCCTTATGAGAGAAAAAGAATAACATTTTCTGCTGATATGAAGTCGAAAGAGTATATTGAATCAGTTGCTAATTTTGAAGCTAGGAAAGTTGGTTCACTGTCAAGCTAGACAATTCTTCTTGTTGGAATCTTGCATATTTATAAGTTGACCTTGCCTTGAATATTGTTGCCACATCTGGTATTGTGCTCCTATGTTTAGAGATTCTCGATAAAATTCAAAGAATATGCAATGTTATTGGTCTTGACCTGGCGTCTTGGCTTCAGTCACTTTTCCACTGCTGTAATGTAGCTTCCTTGTGTCTTTTCTATAAATACTTGCGTAATTTTTCTGAACCTATGGTACTTAGACTTTACAAATTTAAGCACAGCACTAAATTGGCAACAATGCCTTATTTTACAGGTGAAATGGTTTGATGTAACTAAATTCTATGCTAATATAGGTACCTCCACGAGATCGCTAAAAAGAGTATAGCATGATGAAAAAGATGCCAAACTTGACAAAAACAATTTTATCGTCTAAATGTTTATTAAGAGGAAAGATCAAAGTATTTTTGGTATTTTTTTTTCCATTTTTTTTAATCGTTCCTAGCACGTCAAAAATTTTCGTTAATTTTTTTTTTTTTTTTTTTTTTTGAGTCAGCAAAATTGACCATTTTTTTTCCATTTTAAAAAAAAAAAAAAATCTCACTTTGAATTTCTTTTAAAAAAAATATCAATTATCATTTTAAAACTTATTTTAAGAAAATCAGAAATTGTTTATTTAAAATATTTTGAACCAAACTTATCTTTTGTGCCAAAAAGATGTAATTTGAAAATAAAACAAAGCAGGTCATAAACTTTTGCGTCTCCTGACAGGTGATGAATGACATATTTACGAATTCCATGAGGCTAATTTGTTCTACGGAAGAAAAGTGAAATACTTTACATTTAAGTGAACAAATTATTTGCCTTGTTGTTTTTAACAAACTTTCAGTGGCCTAATTTTTTTTTTTTTTTTTCTATTTTGATGCTTTATGAAAAATATATTCTAAAGAAATTAAAATAAGGCTGTCAAGAGTGACATTAAATTTCATATTTCCTAAGAAAGGTATCTAATTAATTTATAGGTACCTTTCTTATGGAATTTTATCAGAACTGTACATAAAATACTATAATTTTATGTACATTTTACTGTTATTTGTATTTGCATTCATTTTATTAATTTCGATATTTCATTTATGGAAAAATGTGATAACAGATTCTTATAAAAATAAGATCATATAAATTTCATAAGATGATACTGATACTTGTAGGTACCCTTCTCAGTTGAAATTGAAAAATCAAATTAACTTCTCCACACATGTTTCGCAAAAGTAAAGGCCTTAACAGCAGAGAACAATGCTTAACTCAAATAACACAACTTAATTATATTCTGGTTGGTCTTCCGTACTTTATAATTACAGCCTGGTTATAAGCACAAAATTAAATTTCTTAATTACTGGGGATCTTCTGATTAGTCAAAATGATATAATTTACAACGCGCTAAAAAAGATCTCTCATAAGGACACTTAGGAAAGCTGATGCAGCTTTTAACTAATTTTATAATATTTTAACAACTTAAATGTAAAATTTATAATTAAAGAAATAACAAATAATTGTATTAAAAATTCATTTTTCATAAAATTTTTTGCTTTCAGAAAATATTGGTCCATATTCATAAAAACAACTAAAAGCAAATAAAAGCATTTGAAATTAAATAATATCTTTGTTTTATTGAGTTTTGAATGTTACAATTCAGAGCTGATTTTCAGGTACTGCGGATCCAATTAAAAACAAAAAAAAAAACATGATTTGCATTCCTCAAAGCCCTGTGCTTTTAATTATTGTAATCACTAAACCCAATGCGATAGAATTTCTAGCGTTTTCATAAAATTAGTTATTGGGGTGGGGTAATAAATATTTAAAAAAAAATATTTCTACCATGAAAAAAAAAAAAAATAATTTCAATCAACTGTGAATAGTTCCTGAAAGTTTCATTAACATCTGATAATTATTTCTATTTTTGCACGATTTTTCAAATTAATGTGTCATACCAAAAAACATGCTAAAAATTGTCTGTTATTTACTAGTTCCACTGATACAAATAGAAACAAGGTTTTTTTTTTTTTTTTTTTTTTTTTTCTTTTTTTTAAATCAAAATTTAGAATGTTCTAAAAAGAACGAAAAAATTTTTTAAAATAATTAAAAACTTTGGTCTTTCCTCTTAATAACGTAAGACAATAAAATTGTTTTCAGCAAGGTTGGCATCTTTTTCATCAAGCTATGTCTTAATTGTTCCTTTATTGGCTTCTCTCCCTAATATATTTTATATTTTCTAACACTCCAGTAAGCTCTTGAGTCTTAGTGTCTTTAGTGCCTTGCTTGAGGTGAAATGATTAAAACAAAAGATTGACCTCAACAGTAGCATGTATGCCTGTATAAAATTTACCATGTCCAGTCTTTACTTTCTGGTTTTGCCATAGCATATTCTAATGCTTAAGCATTTCATTTAATTCTGTAGAAATGTTTTAAACTTAAGTTTATGAAAAGGTAAAAGATTGAAGTATTGAATTTTGATAATTTTTATATTAATTTCAGGTATTCTTCCTTATGGAAAGGCTGTTTGACTCTCTACACAGGGAAGAATGGGGAGATTACAAAAATTGGGGAGTAAGTATTGAAGTTTTTGCAATAACTGAGTCAATTGAATCACAATTTTTGACTTAGAAATTTTTTTAATCATTTCTAATATGTGCTCAAGTTTTGTTATAAAATTTCTTCAGTTTGTAATTAATATTAATTTTTAAATGTTTTGAAAAGTCTTCAGATTCTTTGCATTTTAAGAGCTTTGCTTTTATTTCACTGTTTATACTAGTTAGCACATTCCTAAATTTTTTTTTCCTTTGATACTGTAACATGAATTTTATATTAATGCAAAAAGCTTGTGACTCATTTAGAAATGTTAGCATTCAAATCATTGATAAAAACATGGTTCTGTCACTTGAAAAATTTTTTTTATAGATTCACAATGCAATTCTCTGAAGTTCCAAACATGAGTGAAGCAAATCAAGAATTCAAAGTAAGTTGTCTTGAATTTTCATGTTAATTTAAACAATGTTAATTTAAACTTCTGCCACGATAATCTGATCTAATGCCTATTCTAGTGTATAGGAAATTGTTCAATTTTTGGAATTTGATTTCTTTGAGGCAAATTACTCTATTTTCAGAAGTTGTATTGTTTTGGGAAGTGGGGTGTAAATTACATATTACCAGAAACCAACACTTCCCCATTTTCTTGCTTGATATTACAGGACTTGTCTGGACAGCGCAAATCTCCACCTACTGAACCTCCTGACAATGGTAGTCAGCAGATAAACCAAAGTGGACCAAATCAAACGGTGGCAAGCAGACCACCTCAATCTGGACAGACAGGAGCCACTACTGGTAATGTAGAAAGTATTTGTCTTTATAGTTAGGCTTCAGTAAACAAAAATAATTGTCAGGGCTGAAGGGGCTTACTTTTTTTTTCTTAGGTAAGTGGCTTTCTGATTTGAGCAGAAATGCTATTGTGCCTTTTGAATCTGTTTAAAATGTTTTGAATTATTTTGAATGTTTACTGGCTTTACTTATTTTCACTTTGGTACAGAATTAGTATCCTATTATAATTGTACTTATTCCTCTTAGCTCACACAACCGTTACATCACTTATAATGGATTATAATTATCAATTTTGATTGTGTGGAAAAACATTGTTTAACAGCTGCTTTATTGAAATAAAAGTTCTCAATTTCAAATCCTTTATTTAAAATAACTTTTCTGCTATCTCTAAACAGGAACCTCACAAAGCATGTGGACTGCAATAGACTTTCTAAACTCTACAGCAAATATCTTGCTGCTTTACTGCTTGTTCTGTAGTTTGTCTTTTTGACAAAGTACTAGAGGCTCTAAGTAACTCTGTATTAGTTAAGCACCTCACCTCACATAGGGTCTTTCAGATAAGCAATATGGTGTTTGCTTCTCCAGGTCCACTGCTCTCTTAATTATTGTTGAAAGTCTATTGAGCTTTAGCTGAGAATGACGAAGCACATGCTGTTGCTTTGGATATCTCTAAAGCATTTGACGGTGTTTACTGGTTTTCTTAACAAGTTTAAAGGACAGTTTTTAACTGATTCTCATCAAATCACAAATTGAATGACCACTCTTCTAGATCTCTTTGCATTAATGCAGGAGTTCTCCAGGGCTCTATCCTTGGATCTACGTTGTTTCTAATTTTTATAAATGATCTTCTTGATGTTATCAGTTCTCAGCACATTGTCATGCTGATGACTGTTTACGCCTGTCTTAATAGTCCAATTGGTTTGATAAGGTCAAATTGGCAGCTGATCTAAAATGACCTACAATCTGTTAACACCTCAAAAACAAAACTGCTCCTCAGAACCTTTTTTACTTCCCATCAGCCTGGCTGATGCAAGCTCCAGGAGTCTTTTTTTTTTTTTTTTTTTTTTTTTTCTTTTTTTTGACTAACACTTCCACTGACGAAAGAGTATATTGAATAAATTGCTAAGTCTGCAGCTAGGAAAGTTGGTTCACTGTCGAGCTTTTTCTTACCAGAATCTGTCTACCATTTGTCCTTGCTTTGAATATTGCTGCCACGTCAGGTCTAGTGCTCCTGCAATATATTTGGATTCTTAAAATACAAATAACCAATGTTATTGGTCCTGATCTTGCTTGCACTGTTGTAATGTAGCTTCCCTGTGCCTCTTTAAATACTTTTGTGGTATTTGTTCTGAACTTTCTGCTATGGTACCTAGACTTTATGAATTTAAGCACAGCAAGATCTCGTTTTACAGTTGAACTTGCTAGATGTAACTAAGTTCTTTGGTAAATTTCTTTTCTCGCACTTCTCACTTGTTGAACTCTCCTTGGCTCCTTGCTTCCGTTAAATTTGATCTTCAAAAATTTAGATGCAATATCAATTATCTGCTGTTTTGTCTTTTCTCCTTTTTTAATAGCATATAGCCTTAGTGAGTCTATTGCCTTGGTTGGCAGTGAAATAAAAAAAAAAAAAAAAAAATCATGATTGTTATTGCAATATCTTAATGTTAAGCTGAAATATTTAATGTGATAGGGGAATTTCTACAGATATTGTCATAATTTGCATTAACTTAAGATTCATCAGAAAATTCAAATAGGAAAATTGAAATTTCACATAACATTCTTCACAAGGAATGTATCTGTATTTACTTTTGTGTGTGGCTTTAAATAACCAAGGTTTCAATTAAATGTTTTGTGGTATTTAAATTCATTTATATTGCAATATTTATCTTGAACAGTATAATTATCTTTGTCACACTGGAAATTTTATCTTCACATAATTTTTTTTTTTTTTTTTTTTTTTTTTTTTTTTTTGTGTGTGATTTCAGCAGAACACCTTTTAAATAACTTTAATTTTCTTTTTCTTTTTTCTTTTTTTTTATTCCTGCAGGAAATGGTCAAATGGCACCTGGCACCTTCAATAATCGGATGCCTCGTCCCAATATTCCTCGGGGTGGACCAGCTGTGAATGGTCGTGGGAGGGCTGTTCGTCGATAACACTTTATAGCTATACTTGGCTCTTAAATCTCCTGCCATTGATTTTCTTCATGTTTATATCTTGGCAGGGTTAAAAAGCATGTTAGGGCTTTTATTTTGAAGAAAAATTTAATTGCTTTTTTTTTTCTTTTTTTTAAGAACTTGATCATGTGACCTAATTTTCCTAAGCAAACTTTCTTAGAATTTTTTGTAGTACTTTAAAGCAGCACAGATATTAAAATTACAAACTCAACCTGCAGATATCTTCAATTTTAATATCATTACAATATCTTATTCCTCCCAAACCTTTCAATTACTATATGCTAAGTGTGAAACTTATAAGCAATGAGAAAATAAACTTTACAACTTTTTTTTTTTCTTTATTGCTACATGAGTCTCCCTACCTTGATCAATTAGAGCATAATCTTGTCTGAAGCATTCAAGATCAATAACTTAAGTGCTTAGATTTATAAGTCACAGAACACGTTTTGTGGTTTATATAAATTTTATGCAATTATGGCTGCCACTTTTTTTTTTTTTCCTATTCCTCCTTAACCAATGTGGTAATCACTTACCAAACTAGGATGACTAACATATGTCCATCCCTAAACTTGGGTGGATCTTTATTGGTCATATAAATATCGAATACAATGTATTTGTTTGCTTTGTATACCTGCACTTAAAGGTAATAGCTCTTATGGTTTTTAGTAAAGCATGTATCATTAAGTGAAAGTTTTTTGGTGGATGTCTTTCTTGAGTAAGTTTTCAAGTCTTCTTGCCCCTACTGTGGTACTGTTTGTAATTGTAAAATCTGTGATACCATAGTGTAAATATTTAGCACAAAGTAGGTAAACATTTTAATGAAATGATTAACTGTGTAACAAAAACAAATGGGTGTGTAAATTGTATATATTTATCTTCGGTGATTACCTTGAGTAAAACAAAAAAAAAAAAAAATGGTTCAAGCCAGAGCAAAACTTATGGAATTAACTGCTTCAAAATTTTTGTGCCAAAGTTGGCTTTGTCCAATCCTTATTTAGTTGAATATCTGGTAAATTTTTTTTGTCTTTTTTTTTCTTCTCTCCTTCCTTCCTCTTTACCTTTTACATAACATTTTTTAAGTCCATTTAATTTTGTAAGTCACTTTTTAGTATAATTATCTTGCTGCATTTTGAAATTTTTCTCCCTGATTTTGCTTTTCAGTTCAGTTGTTGGTTGGTCTGTATTCTGTACATTTTTACACTCTAGAATTACTTTTACCAAAATTTGAGATGTTTGATTACTGAACAAAACATAGTTGTGAATTGTGAAAGAAATTCTGATTATTTCCTTTATAGAATGTTTAAATGTTTTAAAAAAAAAAAAAATCATTAGCACTTGTCAAACATATCGAATCTTATTTTTCCTGCCCTATTGTCATTAATCTCCATTCAGTTATCTTACTCGAGCTTTATATTCTCTTCACATATCTAGGATTTTAGTCACCTCAAATATATTCCAATTCACTTTATTTTTTATGAAAATTCTAACTGCTTGGAGTGTACTTGGAGTTGATTATATTAATGGTTCTCTTTAAATGCTGTGATTAGTATTTGCTGTTGGTGCTTAGAAAAATTAGATTTTTATTTTATATTAACCTACTTCAATTAGAATATGGACAAATGGGAGAATACATTCCTGATGAATGCCACGATACACTAATTAAAAGGAGTAAGAAAATAGATTAATAACTTACTCTTGCAACTGTTAGCATTTTCTTTGTAATGTACATTTTGACTTTTTCTAGATTTGACACAGGTGATCTACATACAAGCTGTTTGTATAGATATCGTTGGAAGAACCTGAATTTAAAAAAACAAACTGCGTTGCAGTTAATCAAAATCGGGGGTTATTATATTTAAAAATTTCTTGAATATCTCTATGCTTATTTAAGGTGCTGTAATCATTACATAAAGAAATCTTGCAAGCATAAATGTCTCGAAGGCACCAGTTGTAGAGTACTGGTTACTAAACTCCTTTTATCCCTTATAAGGACTTGATGCTTACTTGACATCCTGTTACTGTCTATCCTAATGTAGAGTTAATAATTCTAAATCCTATTGTAGTATCATATCCTTTCTCAGTCTTATTCTGTTGATGATACTAACTTGCATGAACATTAATATAATTGTCAACATCTGAAATATCATTTATTACAATAGTCATTAAACTGGAAATTTTAATTGATTAGGCAGTAAACAAATTTGTGTATCAAATTCTTTGCATGCATAATCTTTTTAATATTTATGCACTAAAAATATTTTGAGATTATTGAGTTGCTTCCCTTTGGGCTTATTAATTGGGTTTTGTATAATTTTTTTTCTCATCTTGCACTGAATGTTTCCAAAGTGGACTTTAGATAGTAGCATGTGTGTTTAGCATCAAGAATACCTACACTACTTTAGAAATAGTTTCCCATACTTTTTTAAAGTGTAAAGTTATGAAGTACTAGAGGTAAAAATTTTAATTTGCCCCCATTCCTTATCAATGTTGCTTTGAAATTTCTCCATTTTAAGGTATTGAAAAACTACTTTAAATGATCAGTGAAAAATTTTAATTCTAAAATTCATTTAGAGATTTAATCTATTACAGAATGTAAGTGGTCATACCTATTATGGGCTATTAAAATGGCAGTTAAATTGTGCTATTGTACTTTTATTTATATATATATATTATATTATATATATATATATATATATATATATATATATATATATATATTTCAATCTATTTTACAAAAATATTTCATATTATGGTATTATTTGAATACTTAAATTGTTACTACTTGCTATTTTTAATACTTAATCACACACTATTTTTATCTGCATGTTAGATAATTCATCTTGCCCTCTCTGGGAGGTGGGGAAGCAATGCTCAAATAATGTAAGGAATCCTGCATTGGATTTTATTTGGAAATATAGGCTGAATGTGTGTGTGTGTGTTGTTTTTTTTTTTTTTTTAATCCTTAACCAGAATCCTTTTTTCCTAGGAAAAATAAAGTGGATGTCTGATAAAGGGAATCAACATGCACACATCTCCAAGTAGTACAAATATTCAGATTTTTGCCCATGCAATATTAATGATTTAACTTAAATTAAAATTGAAACCACCATCCTTTTAATATGCTTGTAAGCATGTAGTCTAAATTTCCAGATAATTCTGCATAATCTTGGACGGTCAGTTTCAAGAGCAATGATGGTGCTATAAATTTCTTGTTTCCATAGTAATGACTTTCACATGTTTTTATAGTAACTTGATCAAGGCCAACTTTAGCAGTTTTTCTTTTTATTAAAAAGTCAGTTATAAAAACCTATAATAGCCACCATAGTTTGCCTTTTCCCAACCACTAGGCTGCTAATCACTGAAAGGAAATACTTTCAATTATAAACCCCCCCCCACACACACACACACACACAGTGGCGGAAATATTGGTACAATGAAACTTATAAAATATTTGATTGTGGCAGCAACATTCTGATTGCATTTTTTTTTTTTTTTTTCTAAATGCAAACTGGATACTGACATTTGCCACACGTACATGCCAAAAAACAAAATTGTATTAAGAAAATAAAGACATTGTTGAAGCTGTCTTTTTAAATTTACTTCATGGGACTTTATTTATTTATTTTTTTTTTATTTTTTTAACATTGAAAAGTTTTGATCAAAATGTATATTTTCTTTCTTTCCTTTTTCCTCTAAGTAAATATTGATAGAAAAAATATATGGCTGCAGGCTTCAAATACATGGTTTGTGCTTGTCTGTTCAGCTGTTATAAAGAAATATAGAAAGGACTACACAAAGGGCTCCCAAGAAAAATTGTAATGTAAGGTGTGCCTGGAAAAAGTACACAGCAGCCACGCAGGAGATGAGAATGGCAGTAGAGGCTGCAAATGATTTAAGGATATTATCTGCATACTTGAAGACAACAGCTATAGTCATACCAGAGATGGCTTGCATAAATACAGTAAATATGACAAGAGTATCATAACCAAAAAAGAAACCCTTCTCAAAGATCACTGTGTAGTCCTTTGTGAACATTCCAAAAATACCAAAAATGATTCCAAAAAAACTGAGTTGTGTGTTTCGTAACCACAGCGACTTTTGTGTTGACTTGAGCATCTTTTCGACATAGACACCAGCAAAACCAGACAAGAATGTAGACAAAAGAACTGCAATGACACCAAGTAAGGGGTTCTGATTTTTGGGGGTATTTGGGTGGTTGTGAGTTTCTTCATCACTGAGATTCAATTGAACTAAAGAGATTCCTGCAAATAGAGTAATCATTGACAGTGCCTGGATCCGACTGATTTCCTTTCCTAAAATCACAACAGAGAAGATGCATGTTGTGAATATACGAAACTGGTACAGCACCTGGGAGGAAGAGAAAAACAACTTTTAGATAATATCAATTTTTTTTTTTTTTGTGTATGTGTGGTGGAATAAGAGTGCTGAGCTGAGAACTTTTCAGCAGCTTGTAAGAGATTAAAATTCCCATAGCATACAGGAACTGATATTTGGCTAAACTTCCCATTTAGAAATGAGTCTGTTTAATGAATTGCCTTTAACCCCTTTTATAGTTTCTGATATCTCTAACATAGATCCCCATAAAGCAGTTGGACCTGATGGTATCCCTGTAATAGTCATTGAGAAATGTGATGCTGAACTGGCTTCTGTTCACTCTAAACTGTATAATAAATGCCTTGCTGCCTACTGCTTTCTTGCTTGCTGGAACTCCTTGTCTATTGTTCCAGTTCTTGTCACCATCCCTCATTGCAGGGTCTTCTGACTAGCAATATGGCTTTTGTTTCTTCAGGCCAACTGCTGATGTACTGACAACAATTGCAGAAAGGGTCTATGCTCTAGATGAAAACGGAAGCTTGGGCTGTAGCATTGACCATCTCAAAAGCCTCTGACAGTTTAGCATACAGGTCTCCACAAGCTGAACAGTTATGTTCCTGACACATTTTTGACCTGATACAGTTTTTCCTATAAAAAAAATGAAATCAGTGTTATTCTGAACAGCCACCCATTGAGATTCTTTCATACTAATATGGGTGCCCACTAGGGCTCCGTCTTTGGTTTTACTCTGTTTTTAATTTTCATTAATGCCCTTTCTGATGACATCAGCTCTCAACTTGACATCTATGCTGATGACACAACCATTTACTCCTGCCTTAATAGCAAGGCTGGTCAGTCTGACAAGGTCAAAATGGCAGCTGATATCAAAAACAACCAAGTCTGTTAACTGTGACAAAAGATGGCTTGCTAATTTTAACACCTCCAAAGCTAAACCTCTCCACTAATCATCTGAGACACCCCTTTCTGTCTTTCATCAGCATGGCTGATGATATATGGGCATGTGAAAAACAAACTAGGGAGGTTAGGAATCTCATTAAAAGATGTGGCTGGGAGCAGGCCAAGAACAACACTTACTCACATTAACTAGGTACACTGAACGTGTTTGGCCTAACCAGGGGAGGGCTCCACAGGTTGATGTGATCTAGGTTGATCTGAAAGAGAAAATCAAGGTTAGCCTCGTTCAAGCAAACCAAGCTCACCTCAGTGACCCACCTTTCACTAAAGTATGTCAAGATAAGTGTTTTCTATCAGATCCTAATGAGAAAGATGGTTGCCTTGCAAGATTTCCTCCATTGGCATCACCTAAATCACCATTCGAGCCATGGCCAGCAGTGTTAGAAACAAAATTCATTTCACCCCAGAATACAGGGACAACACGTCACATGCATATGCGCAATCAATGAGCATGAGCTTTTTGGGAGCAATACGAGGCATCAGCTCGCTGACATGATCCCATGGGAGTGGACCAGAGGGCAATGGTAGAAGGCGTGCAAAGCCGTTTCTTCCAGGCCAATCCACATCGTTCGCAGTCTGGCAAATCTGCCAAGCCCCATATAAAAGCCATGTCATTGAGAGGCAGCCTACCCAAAGCTAGATAAGCGAAAACTCAAGGTTATTGACGTAATCTGCTGCTGGTGCCCAAGACCAGGAGTGAAACTCCTCCTCCTGACAAGTCGAGCCACTCACGTAGAGGATCCTTTGCGGCCCTCTCCACTAGATAACAATAGAAGACTCTCCTAGGCTGAGAAAGGTCACTGCTGATACAATATATACTTACATAAAATTTCTAAAGTTTTATGTAGGTATATTAGTACTATGACTTTCTGGAACCTTCTAGAACTTGTTTTTGTTTATTTGTAATTTTGTATGTTATGCTATAGCTATAAACTGTTAATTGTGTTAAAAAATACATAAGCACTATCCAATCATTAGCAAATTGAAAAATAAAGCTGAAATATTTTTATTTTTTTTAACCTTAAGTTTGTACCCGCTCCTTCAGCAGTGTTGATACAGTAACCTGGGTCTGTCGATTTCCATCTTTACCCATTGCTACTGCATATTAGCTAATACGAAGGACAAAGTAGTTAGCAGGAGAGCAGATGCTAAATGACTGGTTGTATGTGGAAAAAAAAAAGTGCTGCACTGGTAGAATTTGTTGCACTATACTAAGTGGAAAATCCAAAATATGCTAGGCATGTATCAGGTAACTACTTGGACAAAATCAAAAATTAGAGCTAGTTACCATAATATCCTTCAGCGGTGTTAGGATCTTCATATTGCTGAGTGGCTCCACCTTTTTAACCAGTCAGTCTGTTAGATTTTATTTGGAACAAATCAAATGTTACTGTATTTAGTTGCCCCTCATACTCTCAAATATAATGTGGATTTGTCACAACACTGCAACAATAGTCAATGATCATACTCTGGACAGGGCAACATATAGCTGGTCATGTGTGAAAAAAGGTGTTGGGAGATAGATGCCTATCTTGTTAAGATATTGGCATTGCAATTTATTAGCTGACATTGCAAATGCCAACCTTACTGGAAGCTGAAGTCTAGAAAACTGGAACAGAAGGTCTGCCCAATGGCATGAGTTTAATTCTTGGAATGAGCACTCACTTGACATGATGTGGTACTTCTGTAATAATGTCTTCTTTAATTGTGTATTGATACATTTTGGTAACTTGAACTCTTGTACCGTTGAGAATTCCATTTATTTTATCAATGTTTCTGAGGCACTTAACCACACAACCAAGTTTCAGAGTAAGTTTGTGAGGTGGTAAACCACCAAATCACAAGGTATTTGTATATTTCACAGAAATGAGTGAGGTTTTGTCACTGCCAGGTTCATCTGCACTTGGGTATTGTCTTGATGCTCCAGACATTTAACCAACAACTAAGCGATTTATTTCATCAATGTTGTCATTCTTGGCACATATAATGGAACACAAAGCAAAATACTGTTCTTCAACCAAATACTTCCTGAACCATTCGTGATAGGTAGTTCACAATCTTAGTTTGTTCAGGTAATTCAATATTGCCTTCTGTCTGTTGCAACTTTCAGCAAGAATTCTGCTTAGTCTGCATTCCCAGTTGACAGTCACATGTTTTTTGAAAGAGTGAATTGCTTGACCCTCTGCAAAGTGGACTGATTGAATGATGTTTGTACAACCTGCTGGGGCGTTGCCTTTTTTATAATTGGTAGAATCTGTCTAAAATCTCCAGCAAACATCATAGGAATCCTGCCAAAATCAATGGTTGTCATTTTGTAGGTGCCATCTAATGTCTTTGAAGGTTCGATCAACAGCTTCAAAAACAAATTTTGAATGCATCAGAGCTACATATCACACAATCAGAGTTGTTTGCTATAGTGACCTTACTATTGAAGAGTTGGGAGATATGCTGCATGTAACAGTTTGGGTCACCTTGAGTGGAATTTTGAAAGCTGAATGTGCTGTTGTGCCATTGCACAAACACAGTGAGGCAATTATAGAAGATGCAACAACCAAAACCTTGTCTCTTGTTTTCTTTGTCTGTCTATAGCGTCAATAATTGTTTGAATTAAGTTTTGCCTGATCCATCTGGCCCATCAATGAAGAACATTTCTGATTCAGTGCTGTTGATGTTGCAATTTAGAAAGGCTGCTGTAATCGAATCAAATATTTGTCATTGCATTGTTAATGTTGCAATTCTTGCATTGAGACGATTCCATATTTGGAGATCCTGAAATAATAATAATTATAATAAAGGAGGATATGCTGTAAAACAGAAAACACCAAGTGAAGAGGCGTTTTCAAATAACCAAGATGTTAATATGCTGTAAATACTTTGAAATGTAAATGTTACAGAAAGTTAATTTAGAACACGAAATACATTCTTATTGTAAGTATAAAAAGGATATCAGATTACTCGGAAAACTACTGGAAGAATAATAATTTGGAACTTTTAAAAAAAGAAATGGATTTTGACACTAAGAATCGAAGTTAAAATTAAGGAGAATAAAATCTAGAATTTATTTTTAAACAAGAATCTCTTGTTTATAAAGAGCAGCAGAGTAATTAATAGCAAGGTGATAAACAATAGCGTCTTGTTGTGAACCTTGAAACCAATCGATGAAAAAAAGTAAATTGTTTATTCTCGGAGGAGTGAAGTTGTACTTTGGTAATATGTCAGTAAGTTCACACTAGAAAAACAAATGTCATCAGTCTGGGAAAAAGAGGCCAGCCAACCGGAGAAAGAGAGCTTTGGGTTCGTCTGTCTTTAAATGCAGTCAAAATGAGTGGAGAGACATTAGAGGTTGAAAATGAAGCATCTGCTGTGTGTTGCTGAAGCTGAGGGCGAAGAAGCGAAATACTGCCACTAATATCTAAGTACTGCTAATACTACTACTACTACTATTACTACTGAGAATGGGAACATCGAAGGTTGTAGTAGTTGTGCTAAGAACAGACCAAAAAGGGTTAAAATGCAAGCCACATCTCTCCTTTACTGAAATTATTCAAAGTATTTGTGTTTGTTTGTTTATTGTTCACATACAAGAAACATTCAACCTTGTGCAACAAGAATTATTTTTGTGTGTGTGTGTGTTTGCTTTTATATTTAAAAAAAACTTTTGTCCTTTCAAAATCGAATTGACTTGGTTATATTTATTTTTTTGTTAACCCGACAGACTTGCAGGTGGACCAATGGTGATCTTCCGGATTTCTACGATCTGATGACCACTCTCCATGATCAAAACAATCACGTGGCTGGAGGGTGGCTTCAAATTGACATTGGGGACCAGAGACTCATGCCTAACCTGTCATACTGGACCAACAGCTGGTCTTGTGGAGTGCGTGGGTTCAGTGGAGTGAGGATACAGTGTTACAGTTGTAGAACAACAAATAAATCTGTTAGAGTTAGAAGTGGATGAGCATTAAAACAAATTGGGTATGAGTCATCACAGACATTTGTTTGTTATAAAAAAGCTTTCTCAGTCAAAAAGCTGAGTCCATCCTTCAAATGTGGTATATTTAGGGTTTCGTCAGGATCATGGATATCTGCTGAAGTAATTGTCTTGTACAATTCTGGATACTCATTGGGGTCTGGGATTTCAGCACAAATGTAGTCATCATAGTCATTGGTGTTTCGTGGCGATGAAGAATGATCAGCATATGCATATGAGGAAGGCCTCGCTTTTGAAATTTGCTGGCCAGAATGTAGTTGGAAATATTGTAACAAAAATTTTTGATTTTCGAATATCATCAAAAATGTTTTCAGATTTTATAGAGAAAAGGACCTTATAGATCACAAATGTTTTGAGAGAAAATAATTTCTGTCCAATTTGGATTGCAGATAAATGTCACTGAAACTTATAAAATTTTCAAAGGCTCTTTTATTGCCATTGAATGGGGTACAACTTTTTCCTGTCACGAAACTACTAACAAATTCCTTTCTCAGGACAATAAACAGCCTGATTGTGCAAAATGGATTCATTTTATACATCAAAATCCATCAATCCCATGTAGCATTAATTCGTAAACAATTAAAATAATCCATCAATAAAATCAAAATGTTTGTTTCTCCTGAGTGAATTGAACAAATCCGGGTTGATGGTAATTGTTCTGATGAAATTCAATTTGAAATTGACTTACAAAAAATATTCTGACTGAGACAGCCATGAATTGAAACTGGTTTCATCATTTCCCATATGAAATCCGATATTTGTAATATTTTATGGGTAACATTTTTCTTCTCCCGGTCCTGCAGCATGACAATTGCTGTCAGCCAAACCATTTTCACCTATAAAATTTAATCTACAAAAAAAGAAGATCATAAGATGGATGCAATTCGTTATCTTCTTCCGTCTTAATGCGTTTCCCAAAATTGTTCTGGAAAATAATATCACTATTCTTTTTCTATATTCTCATTTCTTGTTTTGCTAGAATGGGAAATAATTTTTTAAAATTTCCTGTTGTCAAATCAGTATGATTTCAATTTGCTGAATTGGTTGAATATGTATTTCATGTTTATATTTTGCATTTGTTCTGATTTAAATTATTTGAGGAACATAGTTGGGATCATAGTGATTTGAATGATTGAACATCTTTTATGAAAATTTGAAATAAGGTCAATTCAGATCATAAATGTGGATATTATTAAATTCAACCAATAATTTATTATGCATTGGTGTTCTAGATTTAGAAACCGTTGTGCAAATTAATGATATTTCCATTATCTTCTGTATCCAATCTTGATATTAGATGATGTAAATTTTTCCTCGTTTTTACCACATTTATTTGTTTGTCATCCATTTCAAGACCTCAAGTTGTCCCTGCTTGATGTAAAAGCAAATTTAACAAAATCTATTCTTTGTATTTTTGAAAGGTTTTTCTTCATCATTGATTTTGTGGTCTGAAGATTAATCTGAAAGATTGGTTGAATATTTGAAATTTTTTTCCTTTTTGCAACATAATTGAAAACATGGATTGTGATGGGAAGACTGTGCAATTTGTTCCTCTAAAAACATATATCCATTGCTGTGGCAACATCTCACATCCAGGTAGGTGTCTGTGTTCTATTTTCTTGACGTTCTTTGACATTGACGGTTTACAAAGTTAATTTTTTTTTTTAATCTGTTAACACAACTGGCTTGTTTTCAATCAAAATTTTTTTGAACTATGGTTCTTATATATTTTCATTAATTTAAACGATCTGTGTCACTGCTTGAGCATTTAGATGAACCATCCTGGCATTGGTTTTCATTAAATAAACATCTGTCAATATCAACATTTTTTTCTGAACTCGTGTTTGTCAAATTGTTTTGAACTTTTGACCTTGTTTTCTTGGATTAAGGCCTCCTTTTTTTTATTTCCATGGGATTTGTTACAACCTGATACTCATGTTTGATTATCCTTAATGTTTTCTATTCTTAAAATGTTATGATGGTGTTGTTTCAATCATTGTCCATGATGTGGAGCAATTTCTTCTTATTGTTTATTGACAATTTTGGGTTGTTGGTGATGCATTAATCTGCCTATTTGCAGAAAATTCCTTCCCTTGTGATAATAATTGTGACTGCTGTTCAATTTCCACTTCTCTTCATTTAAAAAGGCTTTTCCTTGACAAGAATTTCATATATACTCTTTTTGTTTTACGCTGATTGACACTTTTCATACCAGGGCTCATTTATTACAAGATAAATTAGGTTTTTTTTGAATTTGGAAAGAACGATTTGAATTATTTCATTAAATACAACAGTTAATCTACTTAGATGTACCTCATATACATATCCAGTAGCTCATTTAAACCTGTAACTTTTTAAATATAATATATAGAGAGATGGTGTATATGGTAAAATCAAATTTTTGGTTTGAGAAGTGAGCTTTTTCAAAAACTAAAATTAATGTACACTATTTACATTATTTGGACTATTGTCCTCATCTTTGTTGCCATATTTAACTCAACATTTCAGCTGTTGTACAGGGTCTTGCCTTCTTCAGGTAATTTTGGAAAATATTTTGAGCCATTAATTTCACTCTGTTGGGGTAGACTTTTCTTAAAAATGACCATATCTAATGGATGTCAGTTATTTATCTTAATTTTTCTACTGGTTTAACCAGGACACTATAAACTCACAACTCTTTGGGTTGTCACTGGATCAATTCAATGCCTTTATCCACTAAGGAGTGGACATCCTAAAAATGAATTTATTTCACTTAAAAGTATTATTTGTCTTTATAAACAATTTTTAAAAAGTGTCATATTAAAATTTTATTTATTATCTATTTTACCAATCCTCAAATTGGAAATTTTGTTGTTGTTTTTTATGAGGTTTAGGTTGGACTCCTTATGAAACTGTTCAAAATATAAAATATAATTTCTATCCTTGGTCATCTCAGGAAGTTTTTTTGTCAGAGATAAAAAACTTTGAAATAATGGGTTCAGTTCAAATTAGAAACCATTTTCTGTTTCATAATGATCTGTTTTTTTGTGATAAACATTTAAATAAAGATTTTTTTTTTAGTCCGAATATGTCTAATTTGTGTTGGAAATGCTATTTCATTTAAAAATAATAGAAACTAAAACATTATTTTAAAATTAGTTGTCTTTTTTCATTGCTTTTGAACAAAAGTTTAGATTTAAATACAGGAACATAGAATTACAAAGTTGTAATCTTAGTGTAGATAAAAATTGACGGAACAACGTTATATATATTTTCGATTTGTGTGTGTGTGTGAACCTCTGATGTAAGCAGAAATATTTATGGTTTAAAATGATGAAAAAAAAAAAAAATGAAAAATCTTTCTTGAACCTTTTATTTTAGTTTTAATTTCAAGTTAATAGATTAAATTTAATATTTCCAATAAGCAAAATACTTTTCTGTATTTCAAAACCAAGCTAAATTGACTGGAAGGAGCTTGTTTTGAAATCACTAATTTTAGTGCCATTTTTAGCCATTTGTCATCACAATCTCTTTATTAAAAAATCTTTCAAAAATATACTTTTCTGAAACTTTATTTGAGGAATATTAGCTAATTTAAAGTTTAATAAACCTAATTTGAAACATTTTAAGTTTAAAATGCTTTTTTTAACACAGCAGTAGGTGTTTATTTAAGGTGTTGACAGCTTGACTGACATAAGGAAGTTTATCTAATGTTTTTTCTACAGTGGACATATGTAAAAATTACTTGAGGAATATAATGTGATTGCCTTTTTTATATAATTTAGGAAAATATTTTCTGTAAGCTAAATTTTTATTGAATTTTAGGTACTTTAAATTTACTATAGTTATCACTCTTATTTTTTTATAATATTATATATAGACATGCATATTTACAAAAATCAACACATTTTTAAAATATTGGGAGTCGCTAAATTGTAGTCATGTATGATTAGTAAATATAGTACTTACTTTATAACAATATAACCTAACCAGGACAAATTCAAACACAAGATTTAAAACTTTATAAATTAAAATTTAAAAAATGAAAACAATTCGTTATTCAATGTAATATATATTAATATATATTATTCATAAAATCAATTAAAAGCTTTTCTAATTAAATAATATCTTAGTTTTATGATGGAGAGCAGATTTTTGGTAACTGGGGTTCCTGTTTTATAAAAAAAATGATTCAAATTCTGCAAGGATTTCTGCATTTAACTGCATTTATTAACATTTAATATAAACATTAAGCAGTACAAAAATAAATTTCATAAAATCAAATAAGTTTTAAACAAAAAATAATAAAACTTACCTGTGCAGTTGCTACATCCAGATTTGATATGACAATAAAAAATAGATTATTTTGTAATGTGTAGACAAATCCTGGAACAGACATTTTTGCACAGTCTTTAGGACTTTGTATTGTGTTTTCCCAAAGATAATGTGCCCATTTGAAAATGCTTTTTTCATTTATAAGAACCAAGATGAGGCTAAGGATGAATTTGAAAACCTCTGTACTGATAACAGCAGTTGTTGCAATGAACATGTCTCCTTTGCGTGTCCGTAGGTAACGCATAATTAATACAATTGTAGAGTTCAATATTGTCATTATAATCAGACTGAATATCTTCATGAATTTATTTTCTGGAAATAAAAATATTGAAAATTTACATTTGCAGATGAGACAAGTCATATTTATAGCAAAAACCTTAATGATTTTAGTTTGAAAGAGTTACTAACAAATGATTTGATTGAAAGAAACTGCAAATGCATTGTTACTTAGTCTTCCATCTGTTTAAAGAAAAAAATAAGCATAGAAATATATAATTTTCTTGCTGCTTTACTATTGCTAGATTGAGCTAACAAGTAGTGAATTAGGTTTCATTTAAAAGTCCAGGCTTACTAAATTTTCAATTGACTTTTTTTCTCACGTTTATTCCAAAAGTTGCAAGTAGCAAAATTAAAAATGTATCAACACTAAGCTTTCAAAAGTCAAGTTTAGCAACACTGATTCAGTAGAAAATTTAATGGTAGGTAATACTCTATTTTAAACAAATTCAACAATTTAATGCTATAAGTCTTAGTATCAAACATATAAAACTATTTAAAAGAAAGGAATTTTACCATCTGAAGTTGAACTTCTGAAATATAATAGTTAATGACATGGATATAAGGGGATGCTGAAAATTCCTTAGGCTACCCAAGAAGCCAATTCCCCCCCCCAAAATCTGATGTTTGATCATTTTGGTAGGTTGAAAACATCCTCATAATTGAACTTATAAATATTGTCAATGATATACAGGTGGTACTGACTGCATCATAGATGGCAAGGATTTGCTGATATGACAAATATTTTCAGATACAGAAGATATGCATATATCTTTTGAAGTGTTTTGATATTTAATAAAGAAATGTATCTTTCAATTTAACTAAGTGGAAAGTGCAATCTAAAATAGCTAATAAGATAAAACAGAAGTTTATTTTAATTTTAGTGGAAGATGAGAGAAATTAAAAATGGATTGGTCAAGTTGAAAAACAATAATTACTTTATAAACAAAGGATTTGAAAACTTACAAACCCCACAAATTGGATCAAAGCAAAACCTAATAATGAGCTAGTTTTGTAAGTCTTGTTTATATTTGATATTTAAAAAAAAAAAACACTAATGTCAGCTGAATCATTCAAGACTTTTTTCTTAATTTCTTTTGAAAAAATATTTTCAATTAATGCTTTTCTAAATGAAAAAAGAACCAATCAATTTTTCACTCATTATTTTTGTAAAAATATCATTAAAAATCATCTTCTGAAATTATCACCTATAAAATTCTAAAAAATTAGTGCACTTTCCTGTCATATATGCAGTCAAGAAGTAATAAGTCATGAAAATGATTTTATTTGACTTGTGCAAAACTACCTAATCATTTTTAGGTTTTTTACATACATATGATAAATACATTGTAGATTAAAGTGTTTAAACTATTGTTAATAAGGATGTACAATGATCAGTAGTTTAGTATAAAAATATATAAGTACTTACTTTTATCTGTCTGAGAAATGAAAGATTCCGGTAAATCTTTTTTTTCATCAGAAACTAAAATGATAGTTGAAAGGCTTTCTTTCTTTAAATCTTCATTGCTATCCCTCTGTGTTGGAGAATGCAGAGGTTCCTCCAGAAAACCATTCTCCACTTGGTTTCTTAATTTAAAAAAAAAAAAAAAAAGAGATGAACTATCTAAATTTGGCTAAAGTAGTAAAATGAAAATTTTCTGTTAGATGAAAATTGTTCTATTTCTATAATACTAAGAATTACACTTGTTCACACTGTCTTATATCATAATCAGGCCTAAATTATGGAATGTTTTTCCATGAGAGATTTATTATAAAACTAGTGTTTAACAAAATTGTTTCAACTGTTGCAGATGATATGGTCAGGTGTTGTAATTTTTCTCAAGGTCACTCTTTGTAGCCAAAAGTTGAGAATTGGCATTTTGTACAGGTGCTCATAACAGTAACGTTGAATGGAATTTAGATAGGCTTTGGTTGGATCCTGAAGTCACATGGTTGTGACCTCTGTGTAATAGAATCAAAAAGTTTGATTGAAATTTAACCAACTTTACTATATTCCATGATAACCTTTCATAACCCTTTGATAACCTTTCCCATAACCCAAATCAAATTTAGAATATATGTATATAAACATTCATGTGACTATGTATGACTATTTCAACCAAACTTTATAATCTATGTATTAACATACTTTATATGATATTAAAAAATTTAAGTTTTAAATTTATAAAAGAATAAACCATTTTATACTCATATAGTAAATGTAATACTTGAATTTACAAAATATTTTCCTCAAATGGAGTTTTCTTAATCAGCAGAGTTTAATTTTATTTGAAATAGGCAAGAATTCTTTTCATATCAATTGTTTAAAATTAAAAGGCAGCAAAAATATGGAAAGAAAAATTGGATCACCCCCCCACCTCCCAAAAAATGTTAACTCATTTATATTTATTGAACTGTAAGGAATGTCAAGTTTTATCATTAGATATTTTAATGAATAAATGATTCAGACTTTATAGCATATGAATTCTATATAACAGGATGTATCATGCCAAGAAAATTATGAGCAATAAAAAGATAAATAATGCTAATAGTCACTGAAACATTTTATAACTGAAATATTGAAGTTTTTAACATGGTTATTGCAGTTAATTATTGCTTTTTAATTTCAATTTTTTGAAAGTGAAAAAAAGGAATTTTAGCAGTTTCAATTAGAATTCATTTGAAAAATAGAATAAATGAAGTGAATTTCAATTTTGACAATGACAGTTGATTTGTGAAACCCTGTATATATGAAGGTGAATCAATAAGTACAATGTTGAAAAAGCATTTATTTTACACAACAAATATTGATTTTCAACAATCTCCTTTGTACTTAATGCTTTTCTATTAACCACATAGAATGAATGTTATAAAATTAAAATTTTAGATAAGCAATGTATTTCTTCATCCACTCTTGTACACCATTCCACTCCTTAATAAAAATACCATGATGGATAAGAAAAGGAAATCAATGAAAACAAAAGTCTATGACTCTTTATAACTAGAACAACAAAATAGTTGCTATGTTCATTTTAACCCAAACAGTAATTAATGATAATTTCATGTGACTACATAGATTTTCACCAAAGAAGGTCAAAATTATGCCTGTTAAGCAACATTAAGACAAATATTTAAAAAAAAAATCATATCGCTAAAAGAATATTGGCAATAGAGATAACTAAATGCAATATCTGAAAATATTATGAAACAGACTAAAATTGGCTAATTCTTTTCTATACAAAGATTTGATTCCAGTGGTCATCACATGGTGCATTGGAAAAGTAATTCATGAATAATGTACTTTTGTAAGTAATAATGTTGCAGTTTAAAAGTAAATCATTGTATTAATGCATAGTTTCATATATATTTTTTCAGACATTATTTTGCTCAGCTTTCATTGCCAATGTTTAAAATGTTTGTAAACTCATGCAAACATTTGTTTTTATTTGTTTTTTTTCAGTCCATAATGGAAACATTTTGAAAAGTAAAAAGAATAAATAAAAAATCAGCACTCAAATTGAAAATAATTTTTTACAATTCCTAAGGATTTTACAATTTCAGCTCATATTTTGTCAAGTAATTAGTTTTTCTGCAGAAATGTTTTAATAAATTTTAAAATCATTTTTATATTTTCATTTAATATGAAAACATTATTTTAATATTTAAGCTAATCTTAGTGTATCTAGTTCAGAAATCTGAACAACACTCATTGAATGTCAGTAGTAACAGCTTGCAGCATGGTTAGTGATATCACAAGTTCAATAGAACAATTGGAAATGAATGTTAAGTCTCTATACACTGAGATTTTGTAACAATTGGTATTAACCAACTAAGACTGGTAAAATTATCAGGATAGACATATTTATATCTTAAACATACCATGTGAATTCCAGCTTATATTTATTTTCATTACAAATACTTATAACTTATTTTGTGGTTGGAGATTTTATTATGTAACTTGAGGGTTGTTCATCATATATTATGATAGTTATTGATATTTATGTAAAAATTGCCATTGATTATAAGAAAGATATAAGCTAAAAAAAAGAAAAGACATTGAGTGATGAGAAGAGCACATTAAAAATTGTGAAAAAGTTCAGAGAACAGTCAAGAAAGAAATTGAAAACATTATCAAGAAGAAAAAAATTGGGTCAAATTACCACATTTAAGTAAACATCCCAAAGAGAAATATATGAGGTGGGTGAATGAGTGGTGATGAATATAGAGCTATATAGGATGGACCTGGGCTAGAGGCTGGTTTTTTCATGGAAATCATCAATCAACATGACTTACAAGACACAATTGGGAAGTGAAGTAATATTTTGGGATAATATTGTAGGCAATAAAAATATAAGCCAGTTCCTTCAAAGTTGTTAGTGGTATTAAGATAAATGCAAAGAATAAGTTCTTAGACAAGATATTTCTTATATGTTTCAAGTCACAATCAAGAAGCTAAAGAGAATGTTCATGTTCCTTCATGTTCTGCAAAGCTGACTTGCCCACCTTGCCAAAAAAAAAGGTTTCAAAGAAATTCAAAAGTTTAACTTTTCATTTTCAATATTATTAATTTTTATGATATTATTTTATTCTAAAATAGCAAAAAAAATAACCATCAATACTGCACTCAATTGAGCAAATCAGCTATTCCATAGATTGATTTGTTTAAATATCAATTTATATAGATATACTTTGTAGTAAAATTAACAGAAACTGTATTTTACCTGTAGGCAGAACTGTACAAAACTGAATTATTTAATTCCAACTACTAACTGATTCATATGTAAACAAGTTATAAAACCAAATTCAATAACTTAATTTCTCCCTTCAAATATTAATTTCTTATGTATTTCTCCAACCTGACAAAGTTAAACAAATACAAATAAAGTATCTTCATGGCTTGTAGGCTAATGTTGAAAACTTGTTATAGAGTTTTATTCTCACAAAGTATTTCATGAATCTGGTATTGTGTTGATTTTTAGTACAATAAATATTTGTTGAGAAAGTAAAATTATATGAAGTATATTTACTTCAACTTCTTTATTATACTGCAAATAGTCCAAATTTAGAATTGTATATCTGTAATTTCTACTCCCCATGTAACTTTGAAAAAAAAAACTTTGAAGATTGGAATTGTAACTAATCTAAAAAGTTTTCCTTGATACTTTATTACCAGAGTTCACAATTTAGTTCCTTTACATGGTATATTGCGTTAATCAAATACATGTTTCTATGACCTATATCTTTCATATTTATTTATAAATAAAAAATTATTGTGCACTTCGTATAATAAAATCTGGCACTTCCAAAACAAGTTATCAATATTTTTAATAAGGATAGATTTTATATGCTGAAACTCTTCTGATATATTGCTCATATAAATATGTTACCACCAAATATATTAATGTTTAATTACAATCTTACTGTGAACATTTTAACTTGTATCAGAAAATAATTTGGCATAGTGCATATAAATCTTCATAAATATTGCTTGTTGCTTGTAGCTAAATGCAGTATGTGAGACTAGCTAAATAATAATGGAGCCAAAAAAGGAAACTAAAGCCAGTACTTTTAAACTAATCAATCCAATTTATGAGATTAAATATCTTAAGTTTCTTTTAATATCTGTATTGTATCACTTAAGAAAGTTTCTGGGTATTAAAATCAAATCATATTAAATAAAGACTGTTTATTATTATTATTAAAAAGTTCTAGGAGAATGGAATTATAAAGCTGGGTGAATGCTAGTACAGGTTGATTATTCTTTATCCAAAATCCGAAAGTTTTTCATGTGCTGACATGACTTGCTAGAAATGGAAAATTTTAAAAAGCACTGGGAAGGTTCTTAGGTGACGTACAGCTGTTGTAAGTGACTTAAGTGGATTACTTACCAGGTGTTTCATGCTCAGTTTAAAATAAAATGTCAAAAATTCCTGCATTTATATAATTTTTGTAAAAGTAGCGATCATGTTTTTCATACACATACATAAAGTACAAAACATTATTTTTTTTGTGTGAAATCTTAATTCATCACTTCCATGCTTTTCATTATATGAAGAAGCATCATCTCCTGTATCTGTATGTATACAAAATTTAGTAATATTGTGTTGATGTTTGAGTTCTATTCCCAAGCTGCTCCATTTTATAGATGCCATATAAAAATTAAATAGCCTGTGTTACAAATTCCCCCCAAAATATAAAAACCATAGCACTTCCGGTCCCATGAATTTCGGATAAAGGATTCTCAACCTGTAGTAAAATATGGAGCAAAATGGTAGAATTAATGTTGAAAAAATAAAGTTGTCTTATTTTTTACTTATAAATTAACTTTATCCAAATGAACTTTGGATAAAAGCCATGCACACAGATTTTGAATAAATATGAATTTAATTGTTACTATTATTTTTTTTTTTTTACCAGTCATGTGGTACAATCACATCAGTGTAACTGTAATTGATAATAAAAAGACCATAAAATGATAAAATATAAATTTATGAGTACTTATAAAACCTGAATGCAAATACAAATATCTACTAAATGGGTTAATAAAATAAAATAATATATAAGGAAATATCACTGTCGAAATTTCA